CACCTTGTGTCCCACCCAGCTGCCTCCTTACTCATCCACCTGAGCCATGCTCTGTCTCACTGGGGACAGGGCTAAGGTCCTTCTCCATCTCTCTGCTTTGCCACCCATCTTGCCTTTTGTTATACACCCTCATTTCCTCACCTTTTGGGGGTTCAGAAGGGTCTGGCTGCTCACAGACGTGAAATGGCATTTGTGTTCCTGCACCTCTTTATGCATCTGTGAGGGAAGCAGAGAAATTCCTGCCCATCCCTTGTGGTCCTGCTCTCTGCACTGCAGGAGAGTGATGGATGCAGAAAGGTCAGCCTTCAGCTTCCCCAGAGAGCTCCAGCTTGTCTAATGCTGCTGATGGCTCCTGGAAATGAGCTGCTTTTGCCATGGTCTCTGCTGACTACTCATGACCCCAGAGTTTTGAAAGTCATTTAACTTGCCAGGTCTGAACAGATAAAATTATGTGTTTCCAACATCAGGGACACGCTCTTTTTACCCATGCTTTAGTGCCTTTAAAGTAGATATGAGAGGTTTTAAATAAGGGAATGTGTTATCCTTTCTGAAAGACCTGGAACTCTTTTATTCTGCTTTTCTTTCTGAAATGGCTGACTCCTGTAAAAAATAACCCCCACACCACCCAAGGCAAGGAGGGAAAAACCCTCCTTACCCCAAAAATTCATCTTTGGAAAGAAATATGATATAGATAGCACCAGCCTCAATGATTTGATCTGTCAGCTATAGAAGAATAAGGAGTCGTACACAATGTAATGATAAAACAAGGTGTCTTTGTATTTGATTTATTTTTCTGTGCATCTTTATAAATGTTGTAGTTCAAGCCTGGAACTTTTTCAGCTACCAGTCTTATCAGCAAAAAAACATGGGCTCTAGGTAAACTAAAACTGCCCAATAATTTAGGATTATGTTTATCAAATGGCTTAATTAGTTAAGAAATCTTCACCAGAAGATCAAGTTTTATGATGTATTCAATAAAGGATAGTGAGGAATATTGAAGTTCACTGCCTTCTTCTTCAAGCACATTTGAACTACTGCTGTCCAACTCTGAAGAAAATTCCCTAATCTCTTTTAGATCAGATATTCTAGTATTTGTTGTTCTGGCATTTCTAATCCAAACTTCTTCAGTGTCTCCTAATTTAGCATTCCTTTCCATTCACCATGGATATTGAGGGTGAGAGGAAGCTGCTGCCCACCCCTTTATTTCTTGGCTTCCTTTTATTCCAGGTGGCTGGAAAAAAAAATGCTCTGATTCAAGTTAGGTAAAAAATAAATGTTAATGAGGATTTCCTGCCATTTGAAGTAATCTCTAGTATTAAGTAATATGAGGATAGTGGAAATGCTTCTATCATTAATTCTCTGGGAGGTTTGAGTGATAGATGTTCTCCTGTAAATGTGCATGCTGGGAAGTTCCCTTTTATCTTGAGAATATGATTGATTATATTCCTGAATAGAGATGTATTTCTCTAAGTAAGCTGAACTGTGAGAAGTGTCTAATTATCACCTTTTGATGGCAACAATTAACCTTTGTGAAATCTTCTGTTAATAATATGGATTTGCAAAAAGAAAATCACCTGTATTAAAAACCTTTTTTAAATCTTTTAATTCCAGCTGCCTGCCCCCTACAAATTTCTATTTGCATTGGAATTGTGGAACTTAATTTGTCAAAAAAATAATAATAATAATAAAAAATCTCCTGTTTAATGAGAAGTTAAAATATAGCCCAGAGGAATCTTTTGTTTTTCTCGTGCTGACTTTGTGAAGTTTCATGTTTGTGATTTATTTTTCCAGGATAATGTTTGGTTTTGTCATGGATATAGTTGCTCACTATTCCAAAGAATTAACACAAGAATATCCTTTTCCAAACAGTAGGATGCTTTTAATTGCTTCAGTAGGACTTCTGCTCAAATGTTTTTTGTTAGCAAAAGGCATTTTCTTTGCACTCATTTCAAGGGGCAGGGGTTCCAAGGCCTTACAAAATCAATTGCAAAGTGAGATTTACCCTTTGCCAGTGTACAATTAGCCTTATATCCAAATACATTAATAAGTGTGATTTTTTTTTTTTAGTAAACAACACATATCAACTCTGCATAATTCTGTAGAAATCCATGCATATTACACTTCAGAAGCTTCTTATGTTTAATTAGTGACTGATCTTACACTTCAGTCATCCACAGAAGAAGACTAAAGAATTAATTTGAAAATATTTCCCTTTTTTTTTTTGAGATGCCTTTCTTAAATTACATACTGCTGCCTATATTTGTGTTGTTCACTTGTCATACCTGTGAGGAAAAAGGCGATTTGCTTGTAGACAAGCAAAGAAGGGGGAAAAAAAAAGCAACAAAAAATATTTCTACAACCAGGGGCTTTAAGATAAGGAGGTTCCCTGTGGGTTGCACATCAAAGGTACAAACATATTGTGAAATAGGAGGTGGAACAGCTTCTAACAAACTGTTAATTGAAGCAGAAATGAGGCTGTAGAAGTGTGGAGTGAGACAATGAACTCTAAGGGCTGACTGGAAAACCTTCCACCGTGGTCACACACCTGGAAATTAGTAGCTCTCTCAGTAAATTTTGCAGACCTGAAAGCCTTGCTCAGAGGAGAGCTCAGTCCCTGGGCATCAGGAGGTCTTTTTTAGGGTCCACCTACCAAGTGCCTCAGCTGATCTTACAAATTTTGTTGTATGTATTTCTATTACTCTGGACTATCATATCAGCAGAAGGTATAAAATGTTTCCTGCAATCTGTACCGAGCACAGTACAAGTCTTGGCTCCTAATAATGATTGTGCTTTCACAATGATTGTGCTGCAGAATTGTCTTGCATTCATTTCCTTATGATGACACTTCCCTCTCATAGCATGGAAACACTCTATGGTAAGAATAGTTATGGTGAAGTGTTTCTTAATTTTGTGCTTAGATCAGTAAAATATCTCAGCCTGGTACTGATCAGCAATTACTTGTGAGAGCTCTGTGAGGCCTGTTAGTGCCTTCAGGGTCCTGATGCTGGATTTAATGATCCTAGAGAAGGAAGGATTTGGGGAGGTTCTGGTCGCTGTCCCCAAGTACCTGAGGCACTGGGGAGATGGTGATGTGAGCTCCCCTCGGCAGGGCACAGCAAAAGGACAAGGGACAACAGCCACAAGTCATGAAAAGGCAAATTCCAATGGAAAATAAGAGAAAGAGGGGTGGATTTGCTGCCAGAGAAGTCTAATAGTGCAGCAGATGCCCAGGGAGTCTTTTGAACCTCCATATCTGTATTGAAAACTCAAATGGATGAAACTCTGAGCCATTTGGTTTGACTTTGAAGTTTGTCTTGCCCTGAAGGTTGGACTAGGTGATCTCTACAGAACTTTCCACCAGAATGATTTGTGGTTCTCATCCCAAGACATGTGGTCAAGTTCCCTGGAATGGTGGGAGAGGGTATGTAAACCAGCATGTTCTTTCTTTAAAAGTTTAAGAGGAAAAAGAAAAGACAGAACAGCTACAGGTCTCATTTTTTTCTCATGGGAAGTAAAACTATGCTTGAAACCAGACTTACAGATGCAGAAAATTGTTTCCAACTGTACTAAAGCAGCAAAAAAACCTACTGAAGTCTCAACTTGCTACTCCCTACCAAAAGCAAGCAGACTTGTGCCTCAACTTTTCAGTGATTGATGCTATTCAGAATAGGAATATGAACAAAAAAATTGCTTAGCTCTTCAGTTTTAACTCATTTTTTCAATGTCCTTATTCAGCCATCATCTTCAGTACTGGTTATTCTACTTCTCCCAAAATTCCTTAGCAAAACTTAAAAGAAAATAATCCTCCTCAGTACGGCTCATTGCCACCCATTGTTATCCCCAGGATTAATAGCATTTGTGATAACTGCAATAAATTGGACCATTTCATGTTACCATGGCAGCCAAGTTGAAAGTAGCAATTTTTTTTCCCCAGGTTGGCTAAAGATACTCTTGCAGGTAGAAGACATAAACTAATATTGATTTGAAATTTTCATCTGTGTTACACCAAAATATCTTTTTCCTACATTTCTACTTCTCTGTGATAACTACCTGGAGTGTAGGAGTATTTCATTAAAGAATAACTAGAGACAGAAGAACTTCTTATTTCAGTGATTAAATGAATTTGACATTTTTGTCTTGAATGAAAGTGAATTTCAAGTGCTACTGTGAAGAACTCTTACCAAGCATATAATTGGAGCTTGTCAAAGAAAACTTCCTTATACTGCTGTTTTAAAAAAAAAATAAAAAGAATCAGGTTATTGTCTAAATTAAAGCAAAACTGAAACAAATGGCAAAAAGAAAAATCAACAAAAAGAACTTGCAATTAAAAGAAAGCTGTCTTTTGTGTTTTTCATGGACAGAAATACTCTGAAAAGTCTATAAATGTCATGAGATTGTTTTCAGCATTACCCAGGTTTTTGTGTAATCCCAATCCTTTTTTTGTGTCTGGTGTAAATAAAGGGGGTCCTGCAGCAGGGCAAGGCTGGATGAACAGCAGTAATGGCCATCATAGCCATTAATTTCGCTTTCAGTGCTACTCTAACCATGAACAGTGGTGTAAGGAGGTTCTCATGATTGCATGAGCTCTGCTGTGGTCATTGCAGTGATGTTTTTCCATTGTTACAACTGTTTTTAGAAACAACCACAAAATCTTTCCTTGGCATTCAGTCAGATTTACCTGACTATATTTGCATGCAACGATTATTACTCCATCTTTTGTCATGCATGCTGTAATTTTACAGTGCTGGAGCTTAGGATGTTTATATTTGTTTGAGCAGAGGATAAAAAAATGCAAAAGCTGGTTGGTAGGGTTAAAAAGGCACCCTGCATCCCACACACCTGTCTCATATTATTATGTAAACATCTTTGGTTCTTATTGCCAGCCCTTTGGTCTTGAATTCACCATTTCCCCCTCTAGCTGTTTCCATCAGTGCCCAAGGGTTTGTTTCCCTTTCCTTCTTCCATTCTGCCATTTTAAACATTTCTCCTGTGTTTTTGTGGGAATTCTGGGAAGCCCTCAGGTAGTTTAGGATCCTCTGGGAACTTTTTAGCATTGTGTGCTCCTGTTTCAAGGCTTAGCTGAATCTTCCTGTCTGAGCTGCAGATTCCTCATACAGCTGTATTTTTTTTCCCAGGTTGTCTGATAAATGCTGTCCAGTAAATATATTCTCTTGCCTTCTGCGATGCAAAATTACTTTCCTGCTTGTCTTCCCAGTAAGTAATTTTTCTAAGAGAGTGGTAGTTGCTAGGACAGAGAAAGATTGTTGTATTTTGAACAGATTTTGTATTAAGCGTTTTAATAGGTTCGATGTTCCTTTGTTTCAGTCGAAGAAATGCCTCTGCAGTGGGTTTGGATGGCAAATCTCACCTGGAAACTGTTGCTAAGTGAAACTTACTTTTGTTGATGAATAGTTTTTCTTGGAGCATCTATCAGTAAGAAAATGGGAAGCAGAATCACAGACTAGGAGGCAAGAGGGCTGGGAATGGTAGGCTGTGAATAGTATGGATTTGTGTTGAGAACTATTATTTATGAAGCCCATTTAAGGCTAATTCCATTATAAAGTCACCTAGGTTCATCTTTGAATTATTTTTTCTTTTTTGGAAGGGGAAACTCTATTGGCTGTTTCCTTTTTATGTGGCATTATTTGGTGTGGGTTTTTGATTGTTTTCTTCATAGGTTGTTTCCCCAGTCTTTTCTTACTGATGATCTTAATTGAGATCAAGGTTCTTTGCAAAGGAAATATCCTGATAATTTGCTGGCTGCATGTGGGCATGGATTTGTGGATAAAGGACACAACTTAAACCTGTGCATTAAGCATAAATAACTATCATATCATCACAGGAACAGAATTTGGCATAAGAGTGCAGCATGAAGATGTCACCTGCAGGTGATTCTGTCAGTGAATCAGAGAAAGACAGCCTGCAGTGAATACAGAGGAGTTTGGTAAAAGATCAGCTCTGAAAAGAAATAAATCTGCCTGCCAAGGACAGAAAATCACAGGAACAGCTCAAGGCAGTGGTGAACAAGAGGTGACTTGCTGTAGAGGGTCAGCTTTAAGGAGCTGAGGTGGCTGCCCTGACAATGCTCCACACTGGAACTTTCTTGTCTGCAGCCTTCCCTTTGTGGGAACTGACTCTAATTATCTCTCCTGCCCAGTGCATGCCAGTGCTGCCTGCCTAAATATCAGCTCATTCTGAAGACTGCCAGGTGGGAAAGTGTGTAATTGCCTTCCCTCAAGAGGCAGCAGCTCCTCGAGTGTGAAGAGTTCACAAGCACAAATTCTTGAACTCTGAAGGAGCTTTTCTCGAGTATTTCTACCCTTTTTCTGTGCTGGCACAGTGGTTACAGCTGGTCTGGGACTGTGGTGCTGCACTTCAGGATGGGAGTGAGAGGAAATCTTCAGGATGGGTTGCAAAGTCATCCCAGCCCCTTCTCAGAGTGAGGGAAAGCAGAATCTGTCTTCCTACCCCGACAAAGTTATGTGTCACCTTCCTGTCGTTTACAGAACCATCCTCTCTTTCATGTCTGGTTCTTACATATTTGGAGAGGGAGTGCCATCGGGAAGATTTGTGTCCAATGGGAGCATATGAGCCTGGGCATTCAGTGATGCTGTTCTCTTTGTCTTTCAACTTGTGAAGGCATTCATTTTGCCATTTGAACACCAGCTCTCATAAGAACTGGTCTTTTTAATATCTTCTGAGAGGATTCATTCTTGCTAAGATTTGCAAGGAGTCTAACTTACTTAGGAGACTTTGGGTGTGAATGGAGATGATCAGGATTTGGACCATGCAAAAACATCAGGACTGTGCCAATGTTTATCTTCATGATCAAAATTCCATGATAATGACCCTGTTTTCTTGAGCAAATGTGACTTTATAATCTCCAATCTCTTAATCTGTGACAAAATGCAATTTGTGCTGTTTATAAACTTATGGTCTTTTGGGGGTCCTATTTTTTTTTACTCAGTATATTAGAAATGTTGAAGGAGGATCTGTGTGGTTAGAGGCTGAAGGTTTTCTTTCTCTATTTCTCTTCAAAAGATATAATTAGCACAGTGCTGTTTTATGCAGGAGGACCACAGACTTGAACAGGGAAAACTTTCTCTGGCTTGGTGCTCTACAAGGATGAATGATGAGACTTCTTTCTACATGACAGCATTACTTTCTGTGCACTGACATCAATGGGAGAAGTTGCCTTCTTGTTCTAATCACTACTTAAAAACAAGTGATGGTTCCTCATGCAGTCCATTTGAACCTTTTGGCCTTTAGAAATCTTTTGGAAATTGGGCTGTAAACTTTTTGATATCGTTCAGTTTACCCATTTTCCAGCCTTAGGGCTTTCCTGTATCTCCTGCCACAGGTGTAAATTGTAGTCCTTACATTTAATAAAGAGAGGAAACATGTCAGGATAGCATTTATGTGTGCTGCATGCAGGCTGGGCAGACTGACATGGCCACATTTCTAGCACAAGAAAAAGGTACTGAACTCAGTGATTTGTGGTTTCAAATGTTGATAGGAACAGACAGGAGGCAGCCCTTACTTTGGGGTTTCTCCCCTGGCAAAACTAGAGCTTGAACTGCAGAGTCCTCTGTGTATGTGTGGGAGTGAATGGAGCTTCTCCTCTGGGAGACAATGAAATAGAATACAACCTTCTAATTTTTTAGGGGTGCAGCACAGTATTGGCCATTCCATCCTTCCTTCTGCTGCTGTCTGTCCATCCTTCGTTTTCTCTAATGGTGCCCCAGACCTGTTGCATGTTTGCAGTCTTTTCTTTTTTCTGGCTTTCTGGAAGATCACAAAGGCCTACTGAATTAACAAGGAAATTGGCTTTTCAGCGCAGGAAACTCTGCCCTTGCCCACGAGAATATTTCACAATGCCTCAACTCTACAGATAGCAGAAGACCATGCAGCAGTACAACACACAGGAATACACATCTCACAAAATTATCTGAGAGTACAGGGCTCAGCAACTTTTCTCATGGGTCTAAAAAATCCTTAGCTGTGACATGTAGCAGCCTTCCAAGCTGCACAGCATAATTATTTTCCTCCTTCTCAGTCTTCCCCTCCCAGCACACTTTATGTTGTATTTGACATTTAGGAGGGAGAAGGTACTCAGCAAAAATCTCACATTTCTGCTGTTTAGAGTATTTAAGTCTTGAGCAAAGCTCTTTAGAATATTCTTGTCAAAGATAGAACATGGCTTAAGTACAGAGAAGCATGCAACATACAGCAAATTTAGCATCTTACTAAGAATGTGTGTTTTAAAGCCTCTGTGTAGCAAAAAGAAGTGAGGTTGAGGCGACAGAACTCTTATCATCTACAGCATAAGTCAGTAAGAATAATTCTTACTGCATGTGCATGAGAAAATGATGTTTAGGTGTCACTCAGCTTACTTAAGATGTTTGACAGGGTATTTGAAGCCCAAAAACATCCCTGGCCAAATAATTCAATAGTATTTTCAAAATCTGTGTGTAAAAACCCCACTGTCAGCATGACTGGACTGAGACAGGAGCCCCAATGCAAGAGAACAGTGACAGCTACTCACCAGTAGCAGCACATTAAAGGAGAAATATGCATTAGAGAAGGCAAAAAAAATTTGTCTGCCTGCGTAGAAATTAATTTAGCAGATATTGTTAGCAAGGCCAGGTGCTAGCAAGACAAGAATTTTTCAAGAATTTGAACTGTCCTGGAAACACATGGACATTTTGATTTATTTTTTTTCCCCAGCATTTTGATTAGTGTCTACCATGATGTGTATCTCACGTGAAATCCAGACCTCCAATTTTAATGTGCAGGACTGTATATGATATTACAATGTAAACATTCAGTTTGATACTGGCTTTTATTCTTGAGAAAACCCAGGCTTAAAAAAATACTGTCAGTCTGAGAAAATTCTTTGCATGGTGCCTCTTTCAGCTATTGTCTGTATGGTGACAGGAACACAGTACACAAAAATGATTTACTGCTGGAATCTGGGTTGATTTGCAATCACTTCAAAATTCAAGAGAAAAGGGGATCAGTTGGGGCTTTTTTTGGTTTTGATTTTGTTGCTTTTTTTACTAATCTGAATACACAAATAAATGGTTAGCTTGTATACCTGAATTTGAGCCAATTCTGAATTTTAGAATCAATTATGTGATTCATAATTTTCACTGTTGGTGGTTTGCAGCATAAATAGGAGTAATTAAATCAAAATAGTAGTAGCCAGAATGCTGTACAACTTATGAAGGTGTACAAATGTCAAGTTTATTTTTCTGTTTAACCCTATAAATAGGGTGTTGAAATGGTTGCAGAAGCAAGTGTTTTGAAAGTTTTATATTCCCCTAGTAAATTAACAGGAGAAAATCAAGAAATATTCTAAGAAATTAGCTACGTTATTTTGATTGTGCATAGCTGTTTTAGGCATGCTGTAATTTTGTAGATCAATGTATATTAAGAGAAGATGAAGGTTTTATTCACAATTTTAAGCAGAAATTCTGTAAGAGCTTTGACTTTTCATGCTGTGAAATGATCCACACCAGTCAACTATTAATCAAATATGTATTTTTATATAGAATATGAGCCGTCATTCCAAGAGGGGCATTTTGGCTTTAAAAAGTAGCAGTTTAATGCTGGATGGATTGATCTGATCCCTTTTTCCTATGCTGTGTGGGAACCATAGCATGGACATGGAGTTCCATATGGTCCAGTAGGATCACGCTACTCAAACTTCCTCTCCCAGTGGGATAAAATTCTGACTCTTAGCTCTACCAAAAACTGGAAAAAAATCCAATCAAAAATGTATTTCCCAATGTCCATGTGGGTTTCCCCACAGAACAGACAATTAACAGTGTGTTGTGTTACATTTGAATCTGCAGATGTAAAAGAAAATTTTCACATTTCAAAATCAGTGTGTTTCTAGTAATGGTTTAAAGTATGGGAAGAGGATCTAAGGAATCTAAGAGGAACTAAGAAATGTGCATTGCCCACCATTTACATACCCAGCAGAGTGTGGATTAGTTGGCTAATAATTACTAAGAATTTGGGTAGTTTAAAGCAGTGTGCTAATTCCTTGTGGAGGATTATTTTAGGATTATTACACATAATATATAATCCTAATATATTATATTTGCATATATAATATATTCTAATAACATTATGTTAGCATCTTTTTTCTAAGATTACATTTAATGTGTAATCCACCTTGGATTTAACTAAATAGGGACTAGCTGAGTAGATTTGCAGCAGAGAAGCAGGGGAGGAAGCAATAGCATGGATGACCTTGCTAATGCAAGGATCAGAATGGTTATGAGCTGATCCCAGCCTGCTGCTGCTGTTATTCACAGCAATGTCCAGAGAGACAGAAGCTGTTATTTGTGCCTTATTTTATGGACCATTTTACAGACCTATAATCAGGTCTGCAGTTTAGGGAAGCGCTTACAGATGTACAAGCAGCATGTTCTTTTTGTTATTTCTCTAAAACCACTGCTATTTAACTGATTTTGAAGCCTTCAGTCATCTTCAATTCTCATTTCCACGACAAAAGCTCATTTAGTTTCAGTTGTCTTCTCTAAAGAAATAACTTGTTTGTTTAAGGACAAGGTTATCCTTCTCACAGACAAATGGGAATGTGTAGATGACTTCCCACTCTGGCCTTGGCTGTGACAGCTGACCTTTATTTGGTCAAATATCAGTGACCTAATGAATGCTATGGTCTCCTGCTTCTTACAGGAATTAACTTCCATTCTCAGCTTCTGACAATCTCCACTTTGTCCACAGAGTTGGTCAGTGTCCTAACAACCATGGGAAGAGTTGAGATAAAAATATCACTGCTATTGGACCTTCCACCTTTTTCTTTTTTGCATCTATTTATCCTGTCAGGGATTTAAAATAACACTTTCTAGCTGTGTTTGCTAACTGTTTCCACTGTAATCCACAAAATGCAAAGTGGCTAGTTGTCTTGAGAGCTGTGATGTATAAAAGTCCACAGCAGCTCTCAAGTGAAATGTTTTGTTACCTCCTAGGAAATGTCTGGAGAGGGTTAGGAAAGGGTTTGTGGCTTATGGAGAACATTTGCTGTCACTTCAAGGTAGACAGTGAACCTGCTTCAGTGCAGGCTCTGAGACCACAGCCAAGTTTAGGAAGGTAAAGGAAAATATTCTGTTTTGTCATGCCTCCATCCTGAGCATTTGTTATTTTACTGCATGCTCTGTGATGAACAGGAGAGGGCCACAGCTTATCTAGGCATAAAGAGCTCACTGGAAATAGAAAACCACCATGTGTTTGGGAGGTGAGTGAAATAATGGAGGAGATGTCTGCAGAAGGTAATGGCCACAATCTGGACAAAGCTGTTTCTGTCCAAGCACATGAACATTAACAGCCTGGGAAACAGGTATTGGGCATCATATATTGACTGATGCAGTCAGTTCACTAAATTTGATGTGGTTTGGATTCCAGGTTTCAGTAGGGCTTGATGGCACTTTTTGGATGTGCTGTCTAGTGCACAAAAATGAGGCGGAGGCTTTGACAATGACGTTTGCAAAAGAGAGGATTTGGACCAGAAAGGAAAGTGGTTAGGCATACCTTGATTGAAGCCCTTGAAACCTGAGGGTTATTCAATTAATTTTTTGAAAGGCAGTGCAAGGGAATAAATACTCTTTGGCAAAGCATGGAGTCATCTCATAGAATCCAGTGCTGCAGGACAAACAGATATGATTTTGGTGTGGGTGTTGTGTTTGGGTTTGTGGTTGGGTTTTTGTCAGGGGAACACCTACACACTTTTCCTTGCTGCCAGTAAGGTGCCATCACAAGACAGGGTGATCAGCAATACAGAGATTTTTCCTTACTAAATATATATATAGTTTTTTTCATCGCCCATACCATTTATATCTGGAGCTAAGTTCCTTATATATGTGATTTGGTAGAGTTGATTTCAACACAAAGTATGATATTATCATAAAGTACAAGTAGAAGAATGTTTTGTTATGTTTTTTTTTTTGTTTGGAATTTTCAGCTACTTTTATTTTGGTGTGGGGAAGTGAGGGAGAATTCTAATGTGTTAATTCAGATCCATTAGAGAGAAGGAGCCTGCACTTGTAAATCAAAGACCATGATTGACAGTGGGTATTTTTCCTCTAGAGTGGCAGGCACGCTTAGGCATCAGGGAAACACCATTTTCCACTGGAGAAATCACACCTGTACTTGAAGTGTGGCAGTCCAGCTCAACCCTGGACATTTCTAGAAAAAAAAAACGCTCCAAATTCAAAGATGTGTCTACCACTAGCCAAAATTGTAGAAGCAAACTGTAACACGGAAATAATTCCTATTTACTCACCTGGAGTGTCCAGAAATTCAGTGAGAATGGCTTAACCAGAGAATTAAATGAGAATCCCATCCTTGAAACTGCTTCTATCATTCCTCCATCATGCCAACATGACCAAGGTGGTGCAGATCATAAAATCACAGAGTGCTTTGGGTTAGAAGGGACATTACAGGCCATCTCTTTTCAATCCACCTGATGTGCTCAAGGGCACCTTTCTTTAGAGCAGGTTGCTCAGAGCCCCATCCAGCCTGGCTTTGATGGGTGCTCTCTGCCTGAAGTTGAAGAGCTTCAGCTCCTTCAGCTGAAGAACCACCCTGGGCTGCTCTCCTGTCTCCTTTTTGTACCTGTGGGGGACTGAGGACAGGGCCCAGGGCTTGGGACTGCCCTGCCTAAAGGGCCCTGTTGGCCAGGGTGCCTCCAAGGGAGAGGGAAGACAGCCAGGAGAATCTGCCCATGAAGATGGCAGTGGAATACAATCCCTTGTATTCCTGCTCTCAGGGAGTGAGGAAGCACATTTTTGAAATCTGGAGTTCTAAGACTCTAAAATGGAGGAGGTAATTTTATTTATTGCTTTTTTTATTGCATCCCACACAGAAGATGACGGCAGGCAGACGCCTGTTGCTGAAGCTGGTCATAATTTCAGTTGCTGGTATTAAATCAGGGTTTATTCTATGGCTGTATAGTATATTTTTCTTTACTTAAAGATAATTACAAGGTATTTTACAGACTTATTTTTTGTCATCAGCTGTTACAAACTTGT